ATATATATATATAAATCATCTCTATTTCCACTTGCCTGCCTTCAACGTCCAGTTAAAACCCCCAGGGAGTGCAACACAAACTTGAACTTACCCTAGAATCCAAATTGCAAGAACCCAGGTGTAAAGACACTCAATATCTTATAATCACCCATTTACATGGCTCTACTGAACTCACTTAAAATAAATTAAAATCAATCACTAATTACCTAAAAAATGTAGCACTCTTTGACTACAGCTCTCCATTCGAAAGGCTAAGGCACTCAACCTAATCTCACAGAAAACATTTCTTCTAAACGCTTATTTCCCCTTTTTTTTCCCTCTGCTTGCTTTCACTGTTGGTGTATGGTTAATTACCAGCTGAAATAATTTACGGAACATTTTGTATGTCCATTTGACCTAGTTAATTCCCCCAGTTCTGTTGCCCGGTTGTAGAAGTTATAGGAGCACAAACAGCTTCAACTGATAACCTTTTCAGCACATTTGGACATGGGTCCTGCCCAAAGTTACTATTGGCTATGGTGACTGCACATCTCTGCTTGCCTATGCATTTCTGTAAAAAGAAAACGTGCAACAGGATGAGAAGTGCAATCATGGTGCTTTATGTATAAAGAAGAAAGAAAGTTTGAGTACCCTCTCTAAGGTTTCATGTGAAGCGGGAGCATGACAAGGCCCTTGCTGGTAGCTCCCACAAGTTCCCAGAGGAGTTCCGAAGCTTGCAAATTTAATGGAAGAAATGGCCTGGCCAGGACTACATCGCAAGTGAACCTTGGGTCTGTGCAACTCTTCTGCCTTTCCATAGCTTTCAATGTGCCAGTTCTTAATTGTTGGATGATACTCGGAGACCTCAGCACAAACACTGGCAACTGATCTTTTCACAAGAGAGATTCTTGAGGGATCCCCTCCAAGTTCCTCAAAAATTACCAATAGATTTTGTGTTGGATTCAACCAAGACCTGGGAACATGATACCTGCAAATACATCTTGTGGAGATTAGAAGATGAAAAATTTTTACATGTTATGCCATGTGCTGAATTTTATCTGTCCTTTTGATCCGAAGAGGATTACCATCGCTGAGTTGGTTGGCCACATCCAAGCTGACACTTGGGTGGTTTGAATACCCCAACATAGCTGCAGCCATTGCAGTTGCCTTTTGCATATGCAGTCCAATATCTCCCAATACTCTGTCCGTTAATCCATATTTGACCCTTTCCCATACCCTCCATGTCCAAAGCTAAAGGTTCATCTCCCTCAGGTGCATTAAAGTAAGCCTTTAAAGTCGAAAAGAAAAGGTTCAAATTCTCAAAAGCAAAATAGCTGGTTTGAAATCACATGAAGTTGTATCTTCCATTTTTATGTACCTTATGCCATCTCAACGGCTGCTGCCTCTGTGCTGCCAATAATCCCTCCATCCACTCAACAGAGGAAATACCATTTGGAGAAACAAGATTCATTATCTCTCCTTTAAGCCCAACCTGTTTTAAGGAGACAGCCATGAAGTGACTACCCGAACCAGTAAAAAAGAAGATAAATTGGTAAAAGAAAAAGAGGTTTGAGTCCGGAACCTGGTAAGTCCATTTAGCCCTGGATAGATCCCATTTTCCCTGGTCAAGTCCATGAATTGCAACTGGACCCAGGATTCCTGTGCTCCACGTCTCAAAATGCCCTCCAACATTCTTCATGTCCAGAAAACAAAGAGTAAGCCACAAAATACAATACGGAACAATAACTATAGAATCAGTATTTCTTCTTATTATATAACAATAAAGTCAAACTGGAAGTAATGAGTCTTATTATGGATGAGTTTTACACAACTTATCTACTCTGTCATGCTGCAACTAGTGTTAATGATTACAAGGCGTACAAAATTAACCCAGTGGAAAACCTTATAATACCAGTTCTATGACAGCTTAGGTGACGATGGATTCTAAAACTTCAACCATTCTTCTCATTGAAAGGAATTTCTAACAAAAGTTTTCATTTTTGAACTGTGAAACAATACAGATGGACCAAGGTAACTAACCTGCAATCCAACAGCAACACTCAGCAGCGCAATTCTATTTTTTCCAGGGTGCAGATTGACCTTCCCAGTATATGTAACTCTCCTATTTGCCCTTGTTCCATGGGCAGAACCTATCACACAAGTCAAGATTGTTATTGCTAAATGACCAAAGAGGCAGTCCAATAAAAGCAGCAGTATGATGATTATTTACCTGAAAGCTGCCCATTAATAAAAACATGCAAAGCATGGCCTGTTGATTGAATATTGAGAGTTGGGAGTTCCCCTCCATGCAGAAACGACTCAGTTGAACCAATATCAACACTGTAGCCACATTAAATAGACATTATTACAACATCAAACAATGAGAATTGTCCAAGTCTTTCAACAAATTGTACAATTGCAAATCTGTATTCTACTATAATAACATATTACGACATACTTAAAAATACCCTAAAACATTCATCAGGAAACCCACCATTCAATCTGCTATAAATTGAAACCC